AGAATCAATGGCTAATTTTGTTAACGAGACTAATATGACTTCTGCAGCGACGTACAAAATGTTAAAGTAGAAAATCCAATGATTCATTATCAAAGCTGTGAGTCTCTGCTCAACGTTGATTAAAATCCCGCGGTTTTGCAGAGTTGTTGCGCACAAAGAAACACGAGTTTCACCCTTTTCTTTCTCTTTAATTCTCTTTAATGAGAAAGCCCGATACGCAAACCGCCCGGCGAAATCCATGCACAAATAAGAGCTAATCAGAAATCAACGGTAAAGCTTTGAATGTAACTCGCTTCGCGAGTATCCTCGAACGGGGTTGCTTACTCAAGAATAACGGGGTTCGATTCTCTCTTTGCGAGGAATCGAAATCATTTTCAAACGGAAATTGCGGAAAGCCCGGCGGTCGTTTAGATCCAAGATAACATTTCGGCAATAGCATTATTCGGTGAACTTAAATGAATACTATAAGGATACAAGATTGTGTGATTCGGCACGTATGGGTATCGCTAATAGAAGAACTTTCCGAAATTGTTTGCAAAGCGTGGAAGCAATTAAAATTATTCGCAAGCAATTAAAAAGAACTGATAGAATTCGTCATTCGTAAATTTCGAGTATATCTGTAAAAAAAATTCGCGTCCGTTAGAAACGCAACACCCGCATTTAACCTGACTCTCGTATATATCGCGCCGGTACGGAAATGCGGTAATTATGAAAACGGTCACGCTTCCCGTGATAAGGAAGATTCGCGAACGACCGTGACTCTTAAGTCGGCGAGAGATCAGCCGTAAATTCGCCTTGGCACCTTTCTGCGATCTTTCCCCGCCGCTAATAATCAAGGACAATAGAGATAATGCTTTATATATATTGTCGTCGGGGATGAAAAGGCGCGCAAGCTTTCCGTTAACTTCGTACCGCTCGTTTCATTCGATCCCGCACGATTTTCGCCGGTGGACGAATATTAAAGCCTTCGCGCCCACAAAACCGAAATATATACCGCCGCCATCCAATCTCTATGCAGATGCGAGACGAGCACGTCGCGTCGGATCGTGGGCGAGGGGAGAAAAAAAAGTGTGCCATCGAACGGCAGATAAAGAGAGCAGCCATTCGATTTCGGTGGCAAAGCCAACCTGGCTGAGTGAATCCCTGTATTCCTCCTCCGTCGTTTTCGGTACCGTCAAATTTATCTGCCGGTACTTTCGTCAGCGCTCTGGGGCGTGAGTGTTTTTGAAACAGAAAATCCGAAGAAAATAGAAATATTGTTGAAGACTTTTCGGCAGGCAGAAATAGTCGCGCGATCGCGAAGATATAACGTGGAAAAACTGCTGACTGTTTTAGATTGCTCCACCAACGAAACGAGTCGAATGCGGGACGCCTATATTTTTAATCGAGAAATAGATAGGGCGATTATGTTACCGAGCGAGCTTACGACGGTACAGAAATAATTGTTATCGAGATATATCCATTCTATCATATCATAGAAACTGGCCGCGATATAAAACTGATTACAGGAATCACGATCATAACACTCAGGTATTCCCGTCGAATCAAGGCTCTTCATATAATATAAATAGTCTCATAATAGTATGTACTTCTGAAACGTGAGAAGTGTATCCGGCGTTAATAAGTAACAATCGCAGCGCAAACGCGAATGTCTTTCGTTATTTAAAAGATTATTTTTACGACGAAAATGGCATCGGCGAGCTCAGGAGAGTTAACAGGAGTTAATAACTAACGCAGCTTCTTCATCGTAAGACTGAGCAAATAGAATTTTTTAAAAATCCTCGAACAATTTTTCCTCGGCGTAATAAGACAATTTTCATTAACAAGAACGTCACAGGCTAACAAGAAATATCAATCTCAACTATTAAAACTTTCGAACAAGAACTTAAAGACACCGGAGACTATGGCGAGCCATTAAAAATCGATTCCATAGAAAATAACTCTTGCTACGAATTGTTGAACATGAATAGCTGCATTTTATGAATAGCTACAAATGCGGTCTAGACATTCTTTGTTTTTGGACAAATGTGTTGTGCAAACGAAATTCACGTTGGGAAATTTCAGAATAGAGCCTTTGTTTAATTTATTAGACAATCAGCAGGAAAGCTGTTATTTAAATATGAAATCATTCTGATGCTTCGCTTTTGCAACACTTGAATTTCAAACTTTATTCCGTGTTACTCTGGTTTTAACGCGATTCGAGATAATTACACGTCCATTGCGCGTTAATGGTACATTGGGGCGATGGCGATCGGTTTTTACCGACGTGATGGATCAAATAATTGGATCGAATTCAAAAACATTAAACGTGCCAAAAGTTTTGCACACCAGCTAATTACTGATACTGTGGATTTTCGAGAAGGATAAAACTAATCGAGAGAGAGAGAGAGAGAGAGAGAGAGAGGGCTTCTAGGAGAAAGGCGTATAGATACAAGTCTGTCACAGTCGATAACAGCAGCTAAATGTTAATTAATACGACGTAACATATGCAACTGGCATATGTTGCACTAATTTGAAGGCCAAATCGGAATGCCCAGCGATGCACTAAGGGGGAGCGACGCGGGAGCGCCCGTAATAATGCAGTGCCTGCAGTGAATGCACCTCGACGGCCCGGAGGCATCGAACTCCGCTCGGCCGCCGGGGATTGTTGGCTACCTCGAAATCGAGGAGACCTCGGAGGCTGTCGGTCGCTATCGCGTGCACAGAGAGTATTTAATTTACTGATGTTCAGTTCTCCAGTCCTGCGGAACTCTCTTGAATTCCGTTTCGCCGAGAAATAACCGGCGAAACGGAATTCAAATTACCGCGAGATCGATGGTTGTTTGTCGATCGTGATCGAAACACGATGACACGGATCAAGTCTTTTTTACGCCCTCTTTTGCTTCGTTGCTTCTTCGGGAAGAATGAGGGTTTACACAACAACAAGATCGAAAGGGAAGGGAGACTGAGATTGATATGGTTGTGACGTTTCGCGATATAATTCGAGCTTTTGATTGTGGCATGTACACACAAAGGGAATTGGCGTGCCAAAGAAAATTATATAAATATTCATTTGCAAGATAATAAACAGAGAATCAAGGTAATTAATATTTTGTGAACGTGACGTCAAATCTCATCTGCCCTGTTAGCTGACTAATGACCCTTCCATTTTCATTCTATTGAAACGGGATCGTGAATGATAACTCGAGAATCGTTACTGGATTTCTTTGAACTGCGTGTCACTCCCGTCTGCGATTCAGTGTGCGAGCTTTCATGCCCGCAACACGGAAAACGAAATAAGAAGGGAATGAACCGGGAAAGCGAAGAAAGACGGAGACAAGCCGGGAAGGAGGGATTCGTCGCGGATGAGCGCAGATCTCACTTAGCTCGACAAAGGGTTCCCTGTCGTTATGCTGATTAGATCGTACCGTTTTATTAAGACGGCGGATGTAAACTTCGAGATTCATGGAGTCGCGAGGAAACGGCTTCCGTGCCGTTTCACTCTGCGGAGTTTCCAATCGTCTCCCATTGTCGCAGACGCGGACGGACCATCGTCGACCTCTATGCCACCTCGCTTCCCGATTTCCGTTCCGTGGAAGCGAAACGTTCGGGGCAAATTCCAGGAGATTTAAGGAGATTTTATTACGCGCAGAAATCTCATTTGCGTTCTAAATCTACGTACATAGGCCATTGATCCCCTTATTCGAATCGCGAAGTAATATCGGTTGCGTTCCTCGCTCGAATAAATTCCTCGACTTCACTCCCTCGTTTCTGGCTTAGCCGATTTTACATTTCGATGTGACGCAGACGTTTTCCCACTCCCCTTACATTTACATCGTATAAATTCTCCGTATAATAAAATATTCAAGATAATGAGGACGGATGAGCATTAATTAGGCAGCGAAGCTGCGGTTGTTCTGAACAAATTACAAGGCGAAATTATATGTATCGAGTAGAGGCTTCATTTCCATCTGGCGCCGACATTGTGTTCTCTGTTGTGCGATGAGCGGGAAGGATCGAAAGATTTAATAATGCGGTTTTACGTCGTCGGGGAGGGGAGGGAAGAACTCGGCCATGCATCACCAGGAGGCAGGTAAGTTCTCGGAAATATGGAGCTTGGTTATTTCATAAATTATTTCATTGCACGCGGAGAGAAAAGCGCAAACACTCGCAATATACAGTTGATGCAGAAAATGAGAAGCGGTACATGAATCATTTACGTACCTAATGTGTATCTCACCTAGATTCGCATTAACGAATTAAAACCGTACCGCTTTAAATTAGGTAGATATTTTTTAATATGAATTCACATCGCGGACTCCGTGCGTTCGAATAAAGTAGTGTATAACTAAATTCGGTAATTGAATATTAAAAATTTTCAGTGAAACATTAAAAATGTTTGAATGTTACTAATTGATGATTTTGTATCTCGAATTTCGTGTCGTCAGTTGTATATTAAGGCAGTACAATTCTTTAGATATTTATGACCCTATCGCAAGTACTTCCCCACGCCGCGGAGAACGCGTGTTACTTTCCTTTTAGAAATTCCTACGGCAGCGTGACGCGATATATATACCGAACTTCTTCGCGGTAGCCGAGGAGAAGCCGGGAGGTTTTCTGGCGAGCGGACGTGCAAGCTTGCAGAAGACTCTCGAGCCAATTTGCGCGGACTCATCTCATAAATCCGACATCGGCGAGTCGCGCCGAGAGGTAAATAACGTCGTTATAGGCGACTCTGGAAGAGTGTCAAGTGATCGTTGGCGCCGCATCGACGCCTATTTTCGCAAAAGAAATATTTATCTTTTCACGAAATACTCGAATTTCAGCGAGTGTTTCGACTACTCTCCACAATTTTGGACCGTGGTAGGGAACTGTATGAGCATGATTTTTATTTTCTTGACAGCATTTGGCAGCGTTCACGGATAAGATTGTGTCGGCGTACGCAATCATATTCTACGGAATGTTTGGCATCGCTTCATTTGGTGAATTGAATGGAAAAATAATGTGCAAGTTGTACTTACGATGCACCATTGGTCCGGGGATGGGCACTCCATCAGCATGTGTGAGGTGTAATTAATGCACGGTGTAATGCTGCCAACTCCCTCGTTGTACTGTCCGCATTTGTAACATCTAATACCGTGCGCGACACCTGCGACACATTATATAACATTTAATTGTCAAGTAAAATCGCATATGGGAAGCGCGCCCGCGCCGCCGCAAGAATAATCCGGAATAGAGAGCTGAGCGACGTGCAATCTGCGATACAAATCGCAATATACATCGCGCGAGGCACGAAAATCTATTTTCCCGACTATCTCCATTCGCGTGGCGTATCGGGGGCGAAAATAATTTGCGACGGCTAAAACGCGCGGCAGATTCGCGATTGGCCCCTCGACGCGACACTCGCGATCCGATTCTTAATTCCGCGCGCGCACGTTATATGTAGGATTCGAAAATTGATGGGATCCATAAAACGCTTAATCGCGCCTCGTAAATGCGAAAACTCGGGCGTTCTGCCCAGCGCATATTCCGCCTCCCCTCCCCCCCCCCTCTGCGCGAGTAATAGCGGCTCGGCTCGTTTCGCGAAGTTGGTCGAGTTTCATAATGCAAGCGACGCGCGCGCGCGCGAGGGAAAGTTTTACCGTGCTTTTTCGCGCTGGACCGATCGAACTCTTTTCGCCGGCGAGTATAATGCGCGTCCGTAAAATCGGGGATTTATGAGGCGGCGCTAAGCGCCGCCGTCGATTCCAGATGAGGCGCTGGCAGGAGGTCGCGGAAGATTCGCCGCTCGCTAGATTAAACTCACTTACCTCTCATGATGAGAGAGAGAGAGAGAGAGAGAGAGAGAGAGAGAGAGAAAGAGAAAGAAAATGAACCAACGAAACAACGCTAAATTTTAAGCACATCTTATATGCATTTTGCTGAACTCTCGGATGCTTCTTATAAATTTAAAATTTACTCAGTTTTCAAGCAACTTCGAAACATTTATATACACATACATTTATTTATTATTGAAAATGATTAACGCGTATAAAACTTTGATATTGTACGCTATTAATGAAAATTTTTCAATAGCCGATAAACTCACTCGGCGAACTCGGCGGACTTGGTCCAATTATTTTTACGTTCACGAAATAAAACTTGCGGCGGTTTTCGGATTGAGCGATTTTCGTAAAAGACGGAAAAGCAAGGAGGGCATAATTAATAGGGGTAATAAAGCCTCTTTAATTTTATCCGTCACAAATTCGCGGTGGGTCCTTCACCGAACTTTAATAGTTCCTAACGCAGTCTGTGAGAAGGAGAGGGGACGTCTCTCTCTCTCTCTTTCTCTCTCTCTCTCTCTCTGTCTTGGCATACGGTCCCCTTGAGAAGTGAACCACCGTGGAACCTCGTTAGAACTTTATGAACTTGCGAGTTCATCCAGGCCGATGTTTCGCAACACTCGCTCGCCGCGAGTGTTGACTCGGTCCTCGACAAAGTATTAAGATCGTCCGTTTGCACACATTTATTTATAACGTCATCATGCATTAAATTGAAACTGTAAGATAGACGGGAAAATGTCAGGCAGTCGGGGAAAGAGATATATGACTCGCGGATAAATCTTATCTGTTCTGTATCTTATCGCAGAGATAGCGTGTTGTACCTATATACGGAATAACAGGATTTTATGTCAAACGTCCTGACTTGTAAACAGGAAGCTCCGCACAAACGTAAAAAGAAAATTGCGTTCCTTATTCTCGCGACCTTATTTCTTTATTGCGGTCCACCACGACGTCTTGTGATGATGTAAAATATATACAATATACGGGGGGAGCGTGGGTTTCGAAATCACGATCGCGCGTAAAGTAGGCCGCAAAAAATGATCCGGTAACAAGAAGTAGAATCTATAGTTCGATCTTAGCGAGATGATGCTATTATATGCGAAATCGCTCTTCAGTTCGAAATGTGAGAGCGGATGGATCAGCATTCGTCTCGCATCAAGGGACCTTTTTGCCTCTGGCAGTGTTTTCCGATCTCCAATAAAATATTTTTGCTGTATCTTGACCGAGCTTCCGCCCCGGGATCGACTCAATAAAGAGGCAACTTTTCCAATTTTCTACGAATCGAACCGTTTTCGGAATTCGATACACCAATCTAGCAAATCCTTGACTCGATTATACGCCGGCCGCGCGCTCCCCCTAATCTCCCGGAAATCGCTTCACTAGTACGCCCGTTGCATATCAATAGACAATAGACATTCAAGACATAATTCAGCAATTAATAATGCCTACGTAACTCAATTCAACGATATAATAGAGTAGACAGAATGGAACATAACTTTATGCGAAAATATACACGCTTGATCCTCTCATCGCGGACCCAAATTGTGCGGTCAACGTTAAACAGAGCAGAGAAATTACAGTGGCGATATAAACTTGAATAAACCCCGTTCCGGTGGTGTTTCACTTCTGGGAGATTGGCGGATCTCTCCTTGCAGTGCAGCGGCGGGAATACGGATAGGATTCTGAAGCGGAATCTGCTTCGCGGGCGAGGAGATTCGGGAGCTTGTGTTTCGCTCAATATTGCGGACACACGCGGCGGCGTGTGTGGCACAGAGATATATCCGCGCCCTCGGCGCGGCGGTGGCGGCGGCGTTTCCTCCCGCCTCGCGCGGCTGCCGCGAGGCGCGTGTTCGGCGGCCGGAGACGCGACACGTAAATTCGACCTCGTTTTCGGGGCGGAGGAAGAAAAATATTGGTAGTAAATTTCACCGAGACGGACGTGCCACCCTGTATCTTCCCGCTCGCTCTCTCGCGCGCGCTAGCGCGCGCGTGCGACCGCGCGCGATTCGGATGATTTATCTCGCCGCTCATTTTTTCGGCGATGCATCGCGCGCGCGCGATAGAACCCGCATTCTCGCCGGATACGGCGCGCAGTATTGATAGCGTGGCCAACGTGCCGAGAGATGTATTTCCCCTGGTTGTCATTATTTCATGAGGGGTTGAGGAGGGGGCGGAAGGGCGAGAGGGTACGCGACCGATGCGATCGGCCCAGTTACCGAAACCGCGTTCGATACTCTGGAGATTGAAACAGTCCTATGCAATTTCACGGACCTCGAAAAATTAATTGTCTTTATATAACGATATTTAAGTTTTATTGTTTTTTTTTTAAATATATATTGTCTACATATTATACCAGAGAAGGAAAGAAGGAAAAAGAGAAAGAGAGAGAAAAAAAGAAATAGCTAAGAGCTAATTAAGTAGAAAAGATGGAAGTTAATTTTATCATTTTTTTGGGGACACGAGAGACACGCTGGCAGGATATAATATGTCAATTAGTTAATGTCAAAAGTTATAACGTTGTCGCAGCGTGTGATGTCATAGCATAATTTTCATGCAATGTGTCAACTATCACGGCGTCACTTTGTCATTAACCATGGTAGAACGTCAAGGTAGTTTACACAAATTTATTCGGCTTTATTATATGCGAACTAAAGGATAGTTGATGTGCAACGATGCGATAAGATAAACCGTCCATATTCCTGTGCTCTGCAACTTTGATATTCTCCCGCAAATATTTGCCTTCGATCAGGCATAATGGAGTCTGTACTGACATATGCAAGCTTCACTTCGCTGTGTGGAATGTGTACGCAATGAACAGTTTCTACGCAAATTCGCCTGATTTCCCAAGATCTGGCCATAAATTCCCTGGGGGGGAAACATTCGAAACATCAAGGACACACATCGAATGTATTTTAATATTTCTAATATTTTGCTTAAAAAATTCGGCCGTTATTAATTGTGTGATTTACATTGGTTAAGACGCGAATGACGGTGATCAAAAACTACAAGATAAATTGTCTTATGTAAGTGGTGCATCAAATATTCGCTCCGGCAATCGCCGACAATAGAATTCGCCGCTGTTTCGAAAACAATTTAAACTTCGTCGCCCCGAGTAAGCTCAAGCGGCCATCGAGGAAGAGCCCGAATCGACGGGAGCAAAGTCCCTGAGACGAAATCCGCGAGGATTTCGTTCGCTATCGACGAACGAGTTAACCGTTGTGTCTGCTGATACGAAATAAGCACATCACATAGCTCCAAAAATGGATAGAAATTAATAGTTTTCTTCCCAACATTATCGTAATTGCTGACGAAAATTTCCTAAATTTCTGCACGATTAATTTTTCGTATGATTAATTATATTGAGATGTTAGATGAGAGAAAACTCTTTTTCATTTAGAGTTAGAATGAAATGTCAAGTTTTAATATTGAATATTAAGAAAATAGGATTTGATAATTTTTATTTTATACGAAAAAGTGATTACAATTACTTGCGGCGTGACTTCGATAAAATAGATGAACTGAAATTATTTTGCATATCCTTTGCTAGTACAAATAAAAATGTAACATGCAATAAAAACGTGCTTTCGTGGATTACTCAGATGACAACTTCAAAGAAGATCGACGGACGGGATCCTTTGCGAGAAAGGAGACTGGCGATTGGCGAAGGATCGAAACTGGTAGAGAGTAACGTCATTACGCGAGCGGAAAGATTTCGTCGTCGTCGCAAAGGTATCCGAACGGAAATGCCGATCTCGATGCCGCAATCGGCTTTGTGGCAGGCAACTTGCATTCGAACGATGCCATCACGTAAAGTACATTTGAGAGAAAAGTTAGCCTTTCTCCGGACTAGTCCGAAAGTCGCCCGGGGTATCAACGTACGGAATGAAGCCGGATTATTGCCCCGATCGAAGAATGAAAGTAATTTCAGAAGTAAGTTTCGGGACGGAACGTCCTTCGCGGGAATATTCGCGTCCATTAGAATATAGAGGCCTGTCTCTGGAAATGCAGAGAGAGAGAGAGAGAGAGAGAGAGAGAGAGAGAGAGAGAGAGAGAGAGAGAGGCGAGATCTAGTAAGCGCCCGTCAACTTGGGAAATCCTCGAGATGTGATTTTACAAGTGACTCTTCAGACTAACTTGATTCTTTAATGAAAAGTCACTGTAAGTAGACACTTATATAATTAATGACATTTAAAAGTCGACGGTGCGAGGAAAGACAATTACACGAAAATTTTCATTCGAAAGTGAACGGGCGACGGTCCGTGGCTTTAATGAAGACGAACTGCCGTTGTTTCTTCATTACAAGTCCGTCGCGCTCGCGGTTTCATAT